AGACCAATCTATATGGCACCATCTGCCTTCAACAACTGTTTCCTCAACGACAATCGCTACTACACTCCAATAGGCGTTCAAGCTTTATTTCGCCCAGTATGAACGCTAACTTCATTAAAATAAATTCATCAAACTCTACCATTTGAATACATCGAAAGAATCACGGCGCTTATATTGTTCTAAACGAACAATAATGAAGGAGAGTTTATACAAAGTAGCTTGATCTCAAAAAATTACATATATATTTATATAAATACTCTGTAGCTATGAAACAAACAAGTAATAATCATGCAAAAAGGCAAAAGCAGGCAAAAAATAGAGCATATAGGCACACATGCAGGAAAGAAGGAAATAATAGTACAGAACAGGATACAATATACAGCGCTTTATAGAAGCATCGACAGTAAACAGTGATCGATATCAATCGATAATCGATTGGGGCTCTATGGGTCTTTCAGGGTAGGGGAGATATGTTACTTCCAAGCAAAACAAAACGGTCAAACAAATCTCAAGAACATAAATGAAATAAATTTAAGTTGTTGAAAAGGACCGTTTTGTGCTGAGGTCTTGAACAGAAAGCTTGCAAATGCTATAATCAAACCGTAGAACGCTTGACTGTTCCATTGATTAGGAGCACTTAAACTTCTATAATTTAATTACTTGGAGATCCCCTGATAATTACTCCTTCTGGGCGAAACTCGGGTTCGGGGGGGGGGCACGCGATGGCGCTGTTTTCGTCTGCTCCACCAAGGCTTAGTCACCGATGGCGCGTATTTTGAAACTGCCACATGCGAAAGAGTAACTGTCCCTGTGGACTAAGCCTTGGAGGAGCAGACGAACAGAGCGCCGCGCCATCGCGTGCCCCCCCCCCCCGAACCCGAGTTTCGCCCTCCTTCTGTATAGGAAAGGCTATTTTCAAGCTGTTGTTGAGGTTCGGAGGCAGTACAAAGTTTTGCCGCATGACGACGTCGCTGAAGATGCCCCACCGGCTAAACAGTATCGTCCTGAGAAGGGGCATCTCTTCCCGAAGGGACGGCGTGAGTCACTGTTGCATCACGGGCGCGATTGCTGTGCCACGGCTACCTTTTTTTTCTAAATAAAAGTGCTGAATTTTACGGCATGTGGTCATTGCTCACAGTGACGCACTTGTTTGAACGAGTACCTCACTAGGAAGAAACGCCCCATACCCCTCAACACCCCTAACTCTCTATTTCGCACATGATTCTCTCGGCATTCCTATTGTACATAACAAACGCGTTCTCTTCAATCGTCAGCGCCATCTTTTCACCGTGTTTACTGCTCAACATCACAGTGAAATGGTCCACTTGGCGATATTCCAAATCCTCCAGTATCCGATCGGCTTCCAGACGACAACTCGTGCTCAGTCCCATATAGTCGAACGATCTCCGCCCATGCATCCAATCCAGTATGAACGCCCGAATAGCCGATGCGCTGACGTTGGTATCCTTGACGGCTAGCCAGCTATGATTCGAGGAGAGCAGGTAGTCATCAGAAATCCTCGACGGAAACCCAACGGCAAGGCGATTCAACTGAAATTAGAGCTGTTGGAATTTCCGTAGGGGCGAGTGGAACAAAAACAGTACCTTGTTTGCCGTGGGAGAAGCGACAACACGGGCAGAGAACTGTTCATCGTCCTCTGTACTGCTCATGATGCACAGTTCTTTCAACTGGACAACTTCCATGAGTCGGCAGAAAGTGCACGGGTCACAGGAGAAGTGGCAGATCCCAAAGTTGAACTGGGAGATTCTGATCTGGTTCACAGCCACCATTCGTAGGAATGACAACACGAACTCTTCCGACATTTTTATCTGAAATATGGATTTCTAGAGCTCTGCTGTCAATTGCTGTGGTAAGACCAGCCCCGTAGGATTTCAACGGACCAGGTAGTACATTAGCATTTTATCCAAGCCTATTTATACTACATCGACTTTCCACTGACATTTGAACCTGCCGTCCAGGTTTGATACATCACTGAAAGGACCACATTCGTCCACATCCAAATAAATTGTACTCTGTTAACTAAGGTCGGACATGGGAAACATTTTCACTTTAGTAACACTCGTAGCATCGCACGAAGACAGAAACATCGAAGAGGGCACATTTTTATTGATTTTTTTCAAAGCCAACGCCACGGTTGTTCCTAGGGTGCAATCAAGACATCGTGGGAATCAGGGAGACTACGTCAATTCGGGTTGTTCGAGAAAGCTATACAAAGGAACAGTTAGAAGTTCGAGTATTTTGAGGAACTCGTTAGCTCGATCTCTTCGGCGCTGATACTCGATAAAATGAGCACAGGCGTGACCGCCGTTTCGCGAGTGGGTCACGTCAACCCAGAATTTAGCACCTTTTTAGGGGATTAAGGCCTAATCTTTTAGTATAGTGAGCTAGTATTGTATTTGATTGCTTCTGAAGGAGGCTCCTATGTGTTCTGGCTACTGAACGTGTTGCAGAGCGCTGAAATATGCGTCATTAGGGGTCTCATCCAGTAAGGGGGGCATCAAGTGGCTGCCCTCACCCCCACCCCCTAGACTGCCTACACTCCCCCTGGCGCACAGGTTTCTCGAAGTACGGGACCCCGTGAGCCAGGGGGAGTGAAGGCAGTCAGGGGGTGGGGGTGAGGGCAGCCACTTGACGTTGCATCACAATGCCCCCCCCCCCTTACGGATGAGACCCCATATTAGTTAAATTGAGTGTAAATGACCAACGCTGCATCCGAGAAACGATAAAAGAAAAAATAAAGCAATTGCGCCATTCAGGAAATTGCGCGACGATGAAGGAGATTGAAAAGTGATTTTTTTCAAAACAAAGCGGAACTCACATTCACAATATGCAGCATATCGATATCACAGGCGCGAAATAGTCTGGAAAACTCGTACTCGTTGTAGTTGAGGCACTCGGCTGGCGGAATGTTCTTTCGCTTCGGAACCAATTCGGCCCCAATTATGTAAACTTCTGGAAGGTTCAACAAAAAACAAAATAAAGGATCGCAGTGCGTGCAGGTTCACCAGCTTCAGGATAAGCATTCGTGGATGACGGACATTTGCTGTCGAATCAAGCAATCTAGCTCGGATGCGCTGTTCGCACCTATGTATCTGCGTACTGAACTACATAAACTCGTCGCTTCAAACCGCTCCATTTGATGCTCCATCTGCGCTTAGTCGCAAACGGCCTCATGACTAGTGTGGTATACAAAGCGACGCTTCTGGCACACTGCAGTCGGTTCGCCCACCGCTGGTGTTCCTCCTCTCATCAGGTAAGTCTAGGAGCTCTCACTTTCATCCTTGGGACTTGGAGACGTGCCATGCGCTGTTCTCTGACTTTTGTATCTAAACATTCACGGCAGAATCATCGAGGAATGTCCAAGAGACCGTTAACCGTCCAAATCGCCGCGCAGTTCGCCGCGCGCAGCTCAGGACGAGCCAAATGTCCCACACCTATTCGTTGGGCTACAATCTTGATTCTACAGGGTATGGCTAAAGTTCGGATCACTCTATAACTTTAGGAACTTTAACATGAGCTGAAGTATGACAGAAGAAGCAATTAAAAACTTCCCGTAGCATAAATAGGGTTACAATGAATACAACAGTTAGAGATTCAGAATAACTTGAAAAAATCAAGATTTTTTGATAAACGTACTTCCATATGCGGAAGAAATCCATACAATAACAATTTTCTAGCAGTGAGGTAGATTTCCACCTCATGAGATTGGCTAGCAAAAAAGCACAAAGCAGTGATAATTTACAAACGGATGTCAAACAGTAAGAGGCGAACATAGAAACAATCCAAGTGAGTTGATTTATTGAATATAGCGCTTCAAAGGAGTTATAAAAATAAGCCTAATGATGACGCATAAAATACTGGAAACGGATGCAAAGAAGGGGCTAAGAGTAAGTTGTTGAGTTTTCATTAAAATAATTATACCTATTTTCTTTATATGATGTCCTATATATTATTGCTCTTTGAGCGATGAGGGCTTTTGTTTATGTTTCTAATTAGATTATTTAGCTATCAATATGAAAAGAAAATCAAAACTGTGAACCAATCAATCATGTGAACCATTCAATAATAATGAAAATAAAGGCTTTTGGTTTTGTTTCTAATCAGATTATATAATTAGGCGCAATGTGGCTCGGGGGGGGGGCACCTCGCAACATCGCGTCAAAATCACGGAAACGCTCCGTTTTAGGACTAAGCTTTTGAAGAGGAGAGGAACTCCGGTGTACGGAAGCAATTTTCGTATTCTCCGGAGTTCGTCCCTGCTGTTTAGGCTTAGTCCTAGATGACTTTTCTCAGAGTGCCCCCCCCCCCCTCGAGCCACATTGCGAATATAACTATTAATAAAAAAATCAAAATTATAAATCAATCAGTAAGTATAATGATCAAAATAGTGCAGCTTGTGGATAAAATAAATAACTGCAGTTTTTCCTCAATTTGCAAATTTGCTGTGGAATTGTTCATTTTTAGCTTTTTCCCTTATTTCTAATTCTGATCTCTATTTTTTTTTACATAGTTCACTATGGCTATCGGAACTAAAAGTAGCTGCTGAAAGAGGGTTTTTCGGCAGTATTTACCCTTTAAGCCTCAGTGCCAAAACAGTGAAGGACAAATTTCAAGAATGCAATGAGAAAAGAACACAATGCCGCCTTCTCTGAACTGGATCCCGAAAAATCCAGCGAAAACCCTTGTAATTACAACCAAATACAATAACCGGCCTGAACCCTGTCGTTGTTATTCGTCTATTCTCTCACCGGGGCAATCGATACGGATTTCACTTTTCTTCTGGCCAAACCTCATTCGATTATTCTCAATCATTGCATACATCTGTGAGGAGACACAGCGGAATGCGCAGATTTCGCGAACAGAAAGCTGAAAAAATATTTTTCCTTAGAAAAGTCTGAAATATTCCGAAAAACCGTGAATATCAGTCCCACCAACCTTTCTGAGAACTTCTAGTTGAATTTCACTCGGCAATTCGAGAAACTCAATGCTGTTTGCTGTGAAATCCATAAGATCTGAAAAATCATGGATTTTTAAGATCAAATAGCCTTGAGAAATAAAATAACATTACTGCAACTAGTATGAGCATAAAGCGATCAAGAAAGCCGTTACAGAACAGTGCGTCGAGAAAATGACTAGGCCTGAGAAATTATATAATAGTCAAAGTGGTTAAAATCGATGTGCTTGACCATCAACCGATTAGCTGAGTTGATGCGCGATGGCCGTCGGAGGCACATTGGGTCGTCGATGATCGCTTCAGGATATCCCACGACTGTCTCAGGAGATAATCGCCATCGACGGTTGTGGCACGAGGCGCTTGGATCGCTAATGACCTCCCGTAGTTTAATTGACGTTTACGAGACCCCTCAGGTGGCTGGGAAATGATAACGAAGTGGGTTGGGGGTTTCCCGTGGGAACTGCGATTATTCAATGAAAATCAGGCAAATGGTAAGAAATAGTGTTGTGCAAACTCCGTAGTCTTTTTAAACCGGCCACACTTCAAATCAGGAATAGTTTCAAAGGGGACTCCACTTTTCAATTACCATTGTACCCAGTACCTTGTTTTTGAGAGGGCTGGCTTCAGCAGATTTGAAAGCCTTTTGATTTCCTTATTTTCTGAAAGTCCATTAAGCCTAGACTTTAGAGCCCATATCCATATCCCATAGTTTAGCACTAATTCCCCCGAAGGGCACAGAAAACGTGGTTTGCCTGAGGCAATGCAACGCCACTTGCCGCTGATCTACACACCTTCACCGCGTATATGGTGATTCCACCACCATTCTGTGCCCAAATGGCAGTCTTTTTTCATCTAAGGAGAGGTCAAATTTCAGGCTTACCGGGCGTTTGAGGCGGGGGGTGGTGGGGTCATAAGCAGGTTGAAGGGCTATATAGAAGTTTTCAGATATCCATCCATTGGTTGATGGCACCGATACCATCGTAGGAACCATCGTATTGCCCATTTTATGACCCTTTTCCAACTCCAGCGATTCCCGCCTCGATGCGACGATCTACGAAATCTTTCGCCGCACATGTCTTGACATCTGATCGTGGGTTCTGCACATTGGTATTTACAAACCTTCCAGAGGGTTCAGTCATTTGATTGCCTCCATATTTCTTATATTCACGTAAATTGCGGGGCAACTAGACACGAAACCTCGCTGTAGTTGACATAAATCAAGGTAACCTGTCATCACCAATCGATTCGTGCCCATACAACCCTAATGGATATTTGCATTAAGGAGTCGCATTGAAAAAGCAAGAGAAAGGATTTTCATAAGTTTTTTCCTTTCAAGGATCTAGAGCCATCCCAAATCTGCAACTTTAGTGAGCCAGACGAGCCCTGAAGTCTGCCATGGTGCATTTCGAAGCAGAGCCCAAAAGCATTGGCGCATCCCGAAAGAACTGTTCAGAAATTACTGCTCAATTTTCCTATCTTCAGAACGGAACAGCATGTGTAAAATTGTCGTTGCGATCAGCTATTTGAATGCGAATTTGTTAGGAAAACGTAGGCCATTATTTCAACGGAGCAAACTGGCATTGGTGTATCGTTTCACATTACCCCTGATAGATTTTGAATAATGCCATTTTTGCCTCTCACAATTCAAGATTCTTTGTAGAAAATTCTTGCGAAGATTGAAGCGCTCATCAGAGTATTGAGTGGTGCATTGCCGAAACTTACAACTATTAACTTGTTTTGTTTGTTAACTGCTGTTTTAACGCCGCAGTTCGCCTTGCGAATGTTTCACAAGAATGCTGGGTTGTGAACAAAACTTTCGCCCCAGGCGGGACTCCCGAACCCGCCTATGGGTAATGAATATGCTAGACGGTATGTGTGGTGCTGAAAGCTATGGTACGTATACCATGAAAAGCTGAGTTGGAATGAAATGGTGCCCCGGTAGCGTAACTGGTAGCGCACTTGCCCGGAAAGCGAGAGGTGCGGGTTCTAGTCCCGCCTGGGGCGAAAGTTTTGTTCACAACCCAGCATTCTTGTGAAATACCTGAAAACATTCATAAAGAGGGGCAGCGTGCGCCACGACTTCCAATTCTAACTCGAATCGCATGGCGCCAAAAGGAGCGAGTCCTCCTAAAACACCTTGCGGAAAAAACCGGAGCGCATCGTCATGGTTTTGTTATTCTCAGACATTTCGATACCAAATACCGAAGCTTGGAAAAATTAAAGCTTTTGGTTGACCTTGGCTGCATTCGATAACGGTTTCGATCTCGCACCGTGCGCGTAATGTGCAGCACCACTTGCTAGTACATCACTCCTGCCGTCAACAATATTGTAAATTCTGATCAATGATTCTATATGTGACACCTTACACCAACTGAGCCAAATCAAGAGACTTTCCGGTTAACAGGTGACAAGATTTCAAAACGTTTTATTTCGTATAGTAGGACTAGCCGATGTGTGATAAGCTATCAGGCTGTCTATGAATAACCGATAAATAGACCATTAGTTTATGGCTTTTTTTGAACACACAGGTGACCGCCCGACCATTTAACTCGCTCTCTGAATATTCCTTTTCAAGATTCTGAGAAAATAGATTCGGCCTGAATATTAGGGCTTAATTTGATGTATAGGAACTTTCGGCGTCTATCTCGGATTTATTTTGATTCCCGCACTTCGATTTCGTTGTATAGCCTTTCTTGAAAGTAACAAAAATATCTAATAATCGCATAGTATACAATAAGTTGAGATGAAAATGGTACTCCGCCGCAAGTCTCGTCCTCACATATAGGATCTATGTAGCTCATATTTGACCTGTACCCCCACCAACCCCGGTCTACAACTCAGCGATCCTCCTTCTAACTCCATTGTTCCCATTTCACAGACCTCAAGTAGGGGAATCGCCTCACTGGGCTGAGCAGGTTTCGTTTCGGAATTCAATCATGTATTATTGTTGGGCGAGATCATTATGTGGCAAACCGCTTGACACTAGCCGGTGAAACTCCAGTTCGGGGGGGCCACTCCATTTTTTCTCCAATACTCAAGATAAGGATTAGAGGGCTCACGACACGTAATCGACTCATTTAAAGTAGACTTCTGATAAATATTGGTGTAATGGGTGAGAAACCCTGAAACGTTTTCACATTTCCGCCTGCCATGACCCAAGGGAACGGTCCTGGACCAGGAGAAAGGACACCTCCGCAAAGGGCTAAGGGTGCAGGAGCTCCAGGGTGGATCACCTGTGCAGAAAAGTGGATGGGATGTGGGCAGGTAGTGTGGAATGTAGGACATCCACCGGTCCTTATCAAAAGTACGCTCGAAATGAGTCGTTCACTTATTATCTTATCCGTAGTGTTCGATAGCCCAAAGAACTGCTCTCTAGTACTACGGATAAGATAGCAATGGAGTGCCCCCCCCCCCCCCCCCGAACTGGAGTTTCACACCACGTACAGCCATATATGTATGTGTTGTTTGTTTGCATATTATTCTAAGGAGAATAAAATTAAGTGCTGCAAATACGCGCATCAAGTGTGTCAATTGGTGTTTGTTTGAGAGAACTCGTGGAAATTTCGACACCTCATAATCAACAAGTCCAACACGGACAAAGGTTAGCCGAGCCGAAAATAATTTTTGTAGCCACCGAGGCCAAAATGTTTATTATACGCCACTAACGGTTGAGATTTTTTTCAGAAGAGGCACTTTTCTTTTTTCATAACCTACTGAGCGTTCTACCATACCTTCAAAGGACCGCTCCACTCTGTTGTGGTGTACTAACTACGCAAGAAAATGAATAGGAGTGAAGGGTGGCCCGCTAGTGGAGGAGAAAGAAGATTTTCTCAGAGACATGGATCTACTAGTTATGGATCTCATGTTTGGACTGTCGACAAGGCTTCAAAAATGAGGCACTGAGCTCCGAGACGAGTAAAGATATGTAGGAACGAGGCAGCATGGGCACTAGCGAGACGCAGACATCAACCCATTCATAATGATGGATCACTCGGAGCCATAAGTCATTATCCCTTGGCACTTTGCCACGTTACGCTAAATTTGTGGTTGTGCACCTAGTTACCCTATTCATAGAAGCATTGTTCGACTGAACTATATGGAATATGCCTTTAATTCCTTTAGTCTGCACATTTCTTCGTTTTCTCTCTAACCTTAAGCTCCTGCGGTCTTAGTGATAATGCACAAAGGGCAGATCCGTGAGGCGTTTAGGTTAAGGAAGGTGTGAGCAGCGTTAGATTGACTGCAAACCAACTATTTCAATAGAAGACCTTCGCGATATCCGTAACTACGAATTATGGGAAAATTCCGGTAAAAATACATAGTTTGCACACATTCTGGATAGAATGGCACCCGTTTTCGGGTTGGTTGGACTCTCGAAAAGACCACTTCGAGTGTCAGATCAATTTGTCTACCTTCTAGGAACATTGAAAATAAACACAGCCTGGAATCCGCTCGAACGGGTCTCCTTCAACTTCGAAGGTCGAGTTAACCCTGGGTGCTAGAACGTGCCAAATCTTATAAACTTTTAGAAATTGAAAATGTAGAAATTATGGTCCGCCTGGACCAATCAGACCTCCAAAGTAACCGTACTGGGAACTTCGCCCAGTAATTATGGTCCAGTAGGTATCGCTGGGTCAGAGAACGCTATTGCCGAGGTGTTAGTTATACCCACGTATGATAGTTAGGGCAACTACTTATGACCCAGCCAGCGTCAGCACCTATTTGATTTCTTACTGTATTCCAGTACTACCATCGCTGTGCTGGTCCTTGAGTTTTAACAATTTCTCTCTGCCATTTTCTCCCTCAACTTTCTGATATTCATACAGTATAATTAAAATTTTACTTGTAGATATA